CCCTCTTGGAGCAGAGATCATGATGACACGGCATCTACCCGCTCAGGAGGAACCCCGGGCCCTTCCAGCGGCGGCCACACATCGCACAGTGGGGACAACAGCAGTGAGCAAGGTAGGGGAGGTGTTCTCATTCTCTTTTGCTACTTGTTTCATTTCTCAGGGTTGAAAACTCAGAAATTCCTAGTTGGTGACTATCTGTACCATTTTGCCTAGACCATAAACCCCATATGATATGAGAATCAGCTCATTTTATTTATTCTCCTCTTTTCTTCACCTATGCCATTCCAGCTTCCTGACTGCCTGTCACCTGGCCACCTCCATAAAGCAGGGGCAATGCGTTCACTGAGGGCGAGATGAGAGGAATAGATTAGAAGTTTGAATGTGTGTAAATAGTATGTCACTGATACCCTGCTATACACATTTGAAGCATTGTTATTACTCACCTTTAGAGGCTTATCAAGAGATCATGAAGAAACACCTACCAGGATCCCAAGTTAGTAATGTCTTCAGATGCTTGGAAGGCAGTGGGCCTTTCAGAGACCCGCGTGGGGCTTCCCTTTCCATTGGGTTGAAGCCATTTTTCTGGATTTCCTTATCCTAATCTTTTAAGTGTTTGACTTCATTGCAAAGTCAGACTAAGGTAGTTAGGAAGAAGTGGAAAGAAACCAGATCAGTTTAATTTGTGTTGTTCTTTGAATGCACACCCCTGTGTATTTGGGTGTACATGGATATGCATGTCTGCTTATAACTAGCAGGAACTAAAGTTTAAACATGAAATTAATCTTCAGAAAAATGGTGAATGAGTATTCAGATGTCTTATACTGCTTTTGGTGAGACTGACTGCAGTGGATTTTGTGTTCAGTGAATGCATCCAAAGTTTACAAGAGTATTCTCTATCTGAATATAAAAAGATGACTTTACTGCAGTTGACTCTGAGCCCACAGAAGGTGCACACTTTGTACTCTGGTTTTAAGGATCGTGTTTCATTGGAGTGCTGTTAAACAAGAAAAGAATTCTGTTTTCTAACTTAATTGGACTATGCCAATTAGAATTGCAAAGTCTAAAATGAATTTAACATGATTAATTTGAAAACAAAAACAGTGAACTTATTTTTGAAGGCCCATGGATGTTATTTGAACTGGGAATAGGTTGTAGATGTAGAATTTTAAGCTTCTGGGTTATTTTACTGTTCAAAGAAAAGTTGCTGACTTCATCACAACAGTAAGTCTAGTAAAAGTGGAGCCCAGAATAGTAAACTGGTTCAGAGCTGAGGCAGAAACAGGTAACCTCTGGCCTCTGGTTTTTACTGGAAAATGATATGCAGCATAAACCCACAGGGCCTTTTTTTTCTCTCAGGTGTATGTATGGATATGATATGGCATAGTTAAGGAGACAGCAGCACTTTCAGTATAAAGCCCTACTTTCAGAATTCAACTTATCCCCTGTGCTTTCAAAATAGTGTAAATGGAATCAAAATTCTTTTTCCTGCACTCCAGAATATTGCTACAGTGTTTTGTTTATTTGTTTGTTTGTTTTCCATTTCTTGCTCTTAGAAAAATACATCATCCAGGCACAGGCAGGCTGGTCAGCTGCTGCTCTGAAGGCTGGCAAGCTGCCACAGTGCACCTGAATTTAAAATCGGAGCATCCAGGTTTTCTCAAAACGATCTGATAAAAATATTTTCAGAGGACAAATACCCCATCTCAGGTCTTCCCCTCTGACATGTCATAGCAAGGAACTAGGGATTTTGCATGTTTCTTTTTCCTTCCAGAAGTGTTCTCCAAAGGCCACTTTAAAAATGAATTTGATTGTGACCAGGGGTTATGTATCTTTCACATTACCAGAGTTTTCTACTCACATCATTTCTCTTTGTATTTTTAAAGTCACCACCTAGCTTTTGTGTTTAAGCATTTTCACACAAAGTATCTGATCTGAATGATCTCAGCTGAACCTTTCTGAAAACAGTCCTGGGTGGTAGATAAAACAGGGCTGGCCCCATTTGACAGATGGGGAAAGCAAGGCATGGATGCATGGAGCCAGTTGTGGGGCCCCTTGTGTATTATCAGACTTAACATTTCAGTTTCCCCGTTATTTATATAAGAGTCTTCTCATCATACCTGCTTTCCCCAGCTCCCCATCAAAGAATTAAAGACAGTTGCTTCCACTGAGTTCAAGCAGAAGTGTTCTGAGCTGATTTCCCCCTCCCCACCCCAAATTCTCCAGCAGAGGTAACAGGGGCCACACCTTCAGCCATCCCTGCCCTTCCCTGTGGCTCTCCTTGGCAGAGTGATTTATTCCTTACTAAATGCAGAATGATATCTGGAGGTAGTGCTGCAACAACTCAGGAGCATTCCCCTGCCAACCATGACCCTTGCAAAGCTTCTTCTCACCCCTGAGATCTGCAGAGCTGGGTCCTTGTGCAGCCTTCAGATTAACTGTGCGTGGTGGCTTTTCCATGTTTTCCCTGTCTGCCTTTTCTGGCAGGCATGGATGTGTAAGCTGTGCCAGCATTTGGCCCGTAGTGCATGTCCTAAATAGTTATTTACACAGTTTGAGTCCATTTTAGTCAACCGGGTAAATAACAGCCCTCTTCAAAAGATTTATAAATCCATAAATATGTCTTTATACATACCCAATAGACAGAAATAACTCAATCTGTCAAGAACATATCCAAAGAGGTGTTTCCTCCACAGACAGGAGTAATACATATTTAAAATTTTTCTCTACTATATTGTTTGTACCCTGTTTCTTTTTTCTCATTCCTTTTCATTTTTCACCACTTCATTATGGCACCTATGGTACAAAAAAAAGAAAAGTTCCCTAGGCTTTGGCCCTCTGGTAAATAACCCTATCTGCCATGCAATGTAGGCATACAACTGGCTCTGTCTCAACTGAGTCCTGTTCTTCTAGACTTTCAAAGTAGATAAAATGAAATAAGTCATCCAGGGAATTTGTCAAGTTCCAACAGACTTCCAAGCACAGTAACAATTCCTAGTTAGAGTCCCAGCAATTTGGGAGATTTTAAGCACCTGCTAATTTGCCAAATTAGTGGCTGTTACGATTGATGGAATAGTTTTAATCCAGCTTTTTACCTAAGCAAAAAAGAAAAATACAAAATCCAATCCCTAGCATTCTAAAGAGAGTATACTTAAGGTATGCAATTAAGAAAATACCAAGGATATTATTCTTCAGGGATTTAATGTTTCTTCATAACTTACATAATGTATCTTACCCCCAACTCAAATTATTTATCATGGCCAAGCCTTCTTATGACATCCACTTTCATTTACTCTTAACACTTGCAGTGCCTTGAAGGAAACTGATTCTTTAATAGGGAAGCTCCTTGCAATTGGCATTTAAAAGGAATATCTACCACCTGTCTTGGGTTGGGGGTTTCTGCCGCTGTGGGTATGCCGTTGATTTTGTTTATTCTTTAAGTTCCTCAAGCACTTCCAAAGTCAGCTCTAGGATCTCCGTTTCTTGGCTTTGTTACTGCTTCAGGATGGGGGGTTTTCAGGACCCCCACGCAGAGTCCGTCAGATGCGGTGCACATTGGCAGACGCTTGCCCTTGGCTTGGGCTGCCCCACTGGCATTATCAGCGTCCTCTCTAGGAAGCCCGTGGCTTGGAGCCGTAGAACACCTAGGAAGTCTGTGCCTTTCTCCACCAGGCCCGTCCTCCTCCTAGGAGGGCTGAGGCCGCCACTCTATGCCTCAGAGCAGCCGGGGCTATGCCTGCTTGTGGGCTGAGTCCGAGCACATCCTCCTTTGGGGTTTTTAGTCAAGAGAGATGAGTATATGACAGTAGTAAATAATAAAATAAATACTAAGGGCTGCCATTCAGTGTAGATGCCTCCATCCTGACTTCATAAAGGAAGTCACTGAGGGTCGGAAACACCTGGAGACTTGCCCTATTGGCCAGTGATAGAATCAGGACTTGAACCGATACAGTCTCACTGCAGAGCCCGCGCTCCTAGCTCCAGCATCCTACTCGATACAGTGCTTTAGTGTGGCCAGGAAGGGAACACAGATCACTGATGGACATTCTTTCTGTCAATTTGATGACTCTTTGCCCAGGGTCTGCACTGGCCTGGTCCTGTGCTCTGGAATGCTGACAACCAACAATAAGAATGAGTGTTAGCCTCGGGCAGGCAGTTAGACTGCTGGGGAGTGAAAACCTAGTTTGGGGTGTTAAAGAGAATGATGATTGAGATATTTACAGAGGAGCATGATGATTGATACAATTAATTTGTATTATGTATTGAGAGCCTATACCACTTCACTCATTCAAAGATTTACTGAATTGAGAGTAGGAGCATAGAAAACAAGGACGTCTCTCTTGCAGAACATTTCCCACTTAAAGCCCATCTCATTTTCCCCTTTTGTGAGGATAAAGAAAAAGTATCATTTGTATATTGAAATTTGATGTGAAACATTTCAACCCTAAAAGACTTTAATGGTGGTCAAAACCTGTAAAACCCACTTATGAACTTCTCCTTTGGGGGAGGATGAAATCAACAATAGTATCCTTGCTCCTACTTACAAAAGAAAAAGCAAGACCAGCGTGTTTCTTTAAAGAGGAACAATTGAAAAGCATGGCTATTTCTTCGTCATCGTGTATCAATAGTTGCAATGCCTCCTGCTGCCCCAGCCCCCTCCACGCCAGCTTTTGTGTGAGTTCAGGCAACCTATAGGCAGAAGGCAGTTCCATTTATTATTGAAGGGAATCTCGAGGCGGTTGTTCCAGACCTGTGAAGCCAGCAGGCGGGGCTGGATGAGAGGAGGTGGAGAGCCAGGCGAGGGGAGGTGGGGAAGGGCCACATTATGTTCCAGATGACTAAGCAACGATTTATGTCCCAGCTCGGCTTTTTACATGAAGAAGCAAAGTAGTAACAGCCCAAACCCAGGCATCAGAAAGAGTCAGCTGTCCGATGAATAATGGGATAGGTGGAAAGGCGCTCTCTGATTGGATGTCTTAATGAGCACATTTCACACAGAGTTTGGGCTGCAGTTCCCCTTGACCTTTGCCCTTTATTGACCAAACTGACACTTCATTTTTCACATACTTCCAATTATGGCTCGGCTTAAGTGTTGCCCTCCTTCCTTTATTTCTT